TCAAAAAACCCCCCAAAACTGCAAATAGCAAAAAAAAAAAAAAAAAAAATCGAAAATTCGAAATCAAGCTTGAAGAAGGGTTGGGCTTCGATTTTTTGATGTAATTTCGACTCTTTTATGTGTAACATGCATTGGGTAGGTCGATTACGGAACCAATTTCATGTTAAAAAGCCCTACAAATCAATTTGTAGGGCTTTTTTTTTTCGCAAAAACATGTTCGAACGCCCAAGGCCTGTACGAACGCCCAAAAAAAAAAAAAAAAAAAAATTTTTTTTGCACTGGACGCCCAACTCGGGCGCCCAAATGCAGCTTGCACGCCCAACTTGGGCGTGCACTGCATGAATGGGCGCCCAAGTTGGGCGTTTACGCGTTTTGGGGGGTGTTTTTGGATTTTTTTGGAAAGTTTTGGGGTTTTAGTGAAATAAAGTGTTTTTTTGGGGGGTTTTGTTAGAAACCGCAAATAGCAATTTTCAAACCGCAAAAAATAATTCCCTTTATTTTATTTTCCAAGACCGTCGAATTGGAATAATAATAAAATTAAAAATATTTTACATGTCTATCTATTGAAAACTTATAGTCTGTCTACACTCCGTAGCCTACCGGTTCCTCATAATGTTGGATTGTCGGTTGATTTCAAAATCTGGTTTGAGGGAGTCATTTTAAGTGACAATCTAGAGTTCTTAAGGATGCCCTTCTTGATAGTTTAAAACTGTTTGATTGATTCTCTAGCAATTACTGATATATTTATTTGACCCACTTTGTAGACTCACCTTGCTAGGATTAATTGACCTATAATAATATATTAAGTATTGCCTTTCGATTGATGAATTTAAAATATGTATTTTAATTGAGGAAATTCGTGAGTTAATAAATGAAGTGATTTTTGGAAGAAAATTTAGTTCTTCATTTATTTTCTTAGGACGATTAATTGGTTCGGTGTTATATATTTAATTTTGATTCAATATATAGAAACACTACAATGAGCCCATGTCAAGTTCAAAATAATATAATAGTGAATTGCTTAGTAACATGACAAATTTAGAACTATATTTTTATTTGTAGCCGTATTAAATGCCTCTTGAATACATGCATATTTATTTGGTTTATTGGTTAGTCTTCATGTTCGAAAGACTATACGTCTTTTGATAGTTCATGAATTCACAATCCCAGCAGCCCAATCATGTCATCGGTATCTGGCATTCCCACTGCACTCTATAGGCAACCCAGAATCTGAAGGGAACCATTGGACACTGGTGATACTGGACAATGTCAACAAAGAATGGTGGTTCTACAACTCGTATAGACCACGCTAAAGATGTGTACACGACGGACGCAAAAGACATGGTACGATACTAGTTTAATCTACCATTGACTATTTGAAACATACTATCAAAATAACTATTATTTGTTAACTATTCTCCCTATTTAGCAGAAAAAATACGTAGAAATGTCCGCCCTTGCACAGAAGATAAACGACATACCTCTCCGCACTGGTCTGTTCGACATCACTGACACCCCGCAACAGGACCCCGATTCAAAGGACTGCGGGGTGATAGTTATCTACATTATTAGAGAACTGTTCGCCCAGGTACCACTCATAAATCCAGAACCAGTTGATGGCATGAACAATATCAGGAGAGAGATCGTCGAGGCGTTCTTACATTATGATTTGAAGTGACATTGTATTGATCCATTACCATTTTAACCATCCTTCCCCACTGCAGCTAGCAAAATCCCTCTATGTTTCCCCTTCAAGAACGTACCGTTGACGGACAGCACTGGCCGGCATGACTTAAAACCCATCAAACACGCACCCATAGCAAAAAAAACATCGCCGAAACCTATTCGTTACTTGATCAATGTTCAGATGATATACACTTTCAGGATTGGTCGTTCCAAGTTCGTCGAAATATGATGGTAGGTACGAATACGAGGTTGTGTGATCACAAAAAATGTGTTTCTTAAAAGCCTGAATTATTCTCCAACCAACGTAATAGCTAATATCAATACCAAAATGAAGCTTCGCATGGATAACCACATCATTAGCCACCCACCCAGGCTTAGCTCTGACTTCACTCATCACCAACTCAGCAATTATATCAGACGTCAACCTCTTCTTACTGGCCGTAGGAAAGCCACAACCGCACTTATAATGCTTGACATATCTTCTAATATAAAAGAACCCATTCGCGTACTTAATGCATGTATCCTCCACATCTCTATCTTTACAAACTGCAGTGACCCTAACAAGCTCGTTCTTCACATACCAGAATTCAAATCTCATCTCAATAGCATACAAATACAACACCTTTCTAAAATTCTTCGCACCACCTTCAAACACTTGCCCAACATCTTTTATAAAATTTGCCCAATTAACAGTCATTAGCTGCGGGGGACCAGCTGTCATCAAACTACACTAATTAACACTGTAAACACCTTAATCGTATTCCGGTACATAATTATTTGGTAACACTGGAATCAATCCAACTGACCCCCGACTATCACCCACTCGCTGTTTTATAAACTACATCAATCCGACTAATTGGTAGTTCCTGCACAGAAGACATCATGAACAAAACATCATCATCGTCTCCCAAGATACCCTCCCCAAAACCCGCTATATTGTTGGACATAACCACGTTGTTATGTTGTAATCCATTCCACTTAGCGCTGACAAACCCAATTACCTCTTCAAAATTAAAATTTCCAACACAAGTTTTAACCCCATAAACAGCATCAAATTTCAGAACCAGTGTCACACATGAAGACATATTCATATTGCACTCTGCAACACATGAAATCATGTCAATAATACTACGTACAACTACGCAATGAAATTCACCAGACTGTAACCACATAAATGTGTAGACACTGCATGAACGCATTCAACACATCAAATACAAACCAATAAACACAAAACAACGAAAATCATATACAACTCGTACAAACTATAATTGTTCTTAAACTTATATCTCACATATGGAGACAAATTGAAAATGAACTCTGCAGAAGTGAAATCCGTTCAACATTACTACATGTAACTATCCGTCGGAATACCCAAAATTTGAGAAAACATCTACACAGAATCACTTCATGAACACATTTAACGACAAAAACAATAAAAAAACACGAGATCTACGAAAATTACAAACAATTTACAGATTATATAACTGTTCGTCGACAATTAATTCAGAGTGCTTAAACTTAAATTTAAGCAACATTTACAGAGACGATAACGGCGTTTTCGAAAAATAAACGGATACAGAGAGCCACAAATTCCACCACAGAGCATAAAATCATTGGGTTAAAACAATCGATATCTCACAGAATCCTGTCGAAAACGAATTTCCCTGATATGTCGCACGTTTTCCGCCTTCCTAGGGAATTATATAGCTAGTGTTACGTATACATGAAAACGTCCATGTTTAGAAAAGGACTGTTAAAGGGCATTTTAGGTACTTCATATATGCCGAGGGGGGTCTGTCAAAATATTTTCGAAATGATGGGGGTTTCCCATAGGGTGGAATCCGCATGGTAGTTAGCTAGATATAATTTGGAAATTAGGGGGGTCTCTAAAATAATCCCTAAAAATATTCAGTTATCAAATAAACTTTCTCGTTCAGCATTCAACATTCAAATACTTCTCTTAATCATTCAGAATTTCTTTAAAGGATTGAACTTTAATATGATAAGTTATTTTTGGTCGCAAGCCTTTCTCATGAAGAACATATGTTTATGGTTATTTTCGAGAGCTTAACTTCCTATGCTGGCACTGCCCGTGTTTATAGATGAATAAATGGACGCCAACCTTTTCTTCATTCAATTTTAACTAGTCTAATGACCGTAATAAAATATTATGGATTTTAAATTACCTCGAATTGAATTTAGTCTGTCATTTCAGTCACTAGTAAGAAGGCTTGCACATGTAAAAAACAACAAACATTCCCTGCACCTTATCAAACGATTGGATACACATTCAATGCTGCAATGTGATTTCAGCAAGTGATGCAGTGAGAAGGAAACGAGAGATGACACTACAAGAAATATTGGTTTTAATGACGATTTTGTATGGTCGCTAAAAGTTAGAAAATGATAGCTAAAACTTCTAGCGACCAAATTAAGCTTGGTCACCGGTGGTCACAACAGGGTAGTTACTAAAAGTACTCAGTGACAAGAAAATTAATTGGACGCTAAAAGAGAAGATTTAGCGGCGAACTAATAATGGTCACTAAAAATATAATTATTAACGACCAGTTTTTGACTCGCTAATGTAAATTTTATGGTTGCAATAATATTAACATGGTTGCTATAGCAACACATATAGTGGCCATATAATTTTGGTTGCTAAATGATATATACATACAGTGACCATA